ATTGTATTGTGTGGAATCAAAGGAGTCAGCCGAGCTCTGTGTACCTACTCACTCAACGGCTGGCGGGCGCGGTTGGTCGTTGATCCGCGGTGGCCTCGCCAGCTTAATTTTACTGTTTTTCCGTTTTTTAGAAATGTTTATTTATTAGTTGATTTTCACTAGATATGTAATGGCTTGTTTAAAATAAATAACTACTCAAAAGGAGGAAAGAACATAAAAATACACAAATTATAAATAAATACATGAAAAGAAATACTTTAAAAAAATCCGAATAAAATCAGGCATACTCTATATACGTAACCCAACAATCTCACGAAGTTTCATTAAAACATTAATTTTTTTATATTTATTGATTTTATATGATTTTTTATAATTATTTTTTTCGTTTTTTATTTTTTTTAATTGTGCATTATTATGTCCTTTGCTCTTTTTGAGTAATAATTATTTTTAAACACGTATTCACAGTATGTGAAATATAACAAATAAATAAGCACTACTAAAATAAACGAATAAAATAGTGGATGCGGCCAGGCGAGGCTGACGGACGCCGGGGGCAACGACCGCGCACAGCTGACGCGGCGCGTATCTACTGTACAGTACAGTAAAATCGTCAAAGGCAATTAATACGGAATAGATCGCTCTCAATTCTGAGTCTACGACCTTGAAATACTGTGTTCATACAAAACAGCATCTCAAGATCGCTCTCAGAGTTGAGAATTAAAATAAAGTATTTAAATAAAGAACAAATGTTATCTTCTCATTAGCAGAGAAAAATACCTAAAAAGTTAATAATAATTTTGTTACAAAAACAAATACTTATTGCAGTTTAATACATGGGTCAGAAAGAAATTTATAGCACTAGTCTATTCACTTTGGCTTGAGACAAAATGTAAACAAAGAATCTGAGGTTCTAAAACTTTTATAATGTCAGAAAGTACCTACTAGTCAATGATTAGGTATAATTTATGTAACCTATATTAAAATTATAATGAATTCTGTCTTGATTATTACTATAATAAAAAAATGTGTATTTCAAATGAAACCAGCATAATACTTTGCAAATAATATTTATTCACGGTCTTACGACTCACTGGATAAACTGCCACCAACTTTAATAATAAATTTATCCACAACATCATCAACAATATCATCCAATTTTAGCATTTTCTGCCCTTCTTTTATGACATGGTCAATGAACCGTTTCCACGATTCAGCTGTGATTGATTGTAAGGCATCGGCTAATAGATTTTTAATTTCAGTCATCTTAAATGTTTTATTATTTTTACTAACATATCCCTTGACTTGTGCCCATATGCAGTACAATCAGACGCTTCCCTTTTCCACTTGGGTTTTTCAATCCTATTGACAATCCCTATCGATGAGCTTCTTTCACAGTTTTAATTGTATGATCTTGCCAAATTTTGTTCATAGTGTGTCCTGTAACAAATATAAGTTCATTAACAACTTATGAAAAATAAAAACAATAATAATTTAATACAATTGGTAACATGACACAACATACTTGAGTGACATTTTCACAGGATAAAGACATGGTATGAAAATAATAAGTATCATTCAATATTTATAAAAATATTATAATTAAATTATGTGAATAGAAATTAATATATTTTAGTACTGTGATGATAAACAATAAAAAATATGAATTTAGTTTATCAGTTTATGAATATAAAAGGAAATATAATTTCATTCAGAAGTAAATTTCCCACAGAATAAAGTAGTTTAATATTGTATTTTACTAACCTTCATTTGGCCAAGTTTCGTCAGCGTAATAAATAGTTCTACCTTCGCTCCTGAGCTTTACAATATTATTTAAATATTAGATGCGCCATAAAACAATGTCATCTCATTCTTTCGGCTTCTTTTCGCATATTTAAATTGTAATGATTTTATCAACTTGAAAAAAGAGGTCCTCTTAAAGTTGGGCAAAGTTTCATCTGTATTCACAGCATGCAATACTTTGTCAACGGTGGGCATCTCCTTATTAAAAAAAATGTGAGGACTTTGCGGCGTATCGCAGTATTATCCATATCGTACAATGTATCCATCAAAGATACTTTAAATGGTGGAGGCGGAGGTGATGAGATACGGCCACGGCCAGTACTTTTCTTTTCCTTCACCAACCGGTAAACAGTAGCTCGTGATATGCCCAGTATTTCAGCGGATTTATTGATTATATCACTTTTATATGGATAGGAATCTTTTGGCCAGGTTTCTTCAACATGTTTAAAAACATTTATCACGAGCTCCTTTTCGTTGGAGCGCAATGGACCACTCTTTGTACGCTTTTTCTTTGGCGAAGAAAATGTACAAGAGCTGCTTGGTCCCGGTTCACCACTCATAACTATAGCTATGAAAACGTCAATTCAACAAGAAAATAATCACAAATAACTTTAAACTTAATGTAAATAAAATAACAACAAACTCAACAAATAAAACAAGGAAATAACAAGAATTTAACAAATAAGATTGAATAAGCACGCTCGCGTCAACAGGTTGATCGGGAGAGTAAAGATGGCTGACATAAACCAACCGATTACAAAACACAACACTTCAACGTAAAATACTTATATCATGTCTATTTTTAAATTTTGTCGTATTATAATACGTCTTAAGTTTGGGAATGATTGTGTTTATAGGTCTTTTTCCATGTCAACTTAAGTTGTTAAAATAATTTTACCAGCAAATTAAAAATATACGAATTTATGATGTGAATATACGTTGAATATAATGTAAAATATTTTATTTTCTTATTCATATGTATGTAACAGGTTTTAAAATAATTAACTTTAATTTTCGCTGCATTTCCTATATAAATAGTATTTAATATTTACTTTTGTCAAACGTGACCTTAAAAAGTATCCATTTTATGGTTTGTTTACATTTTGTCTCACGCCAAAGTGAATGGACTATAGGTATTAGACAGTACTTACGAGACCGGCGATGTAGGTAGGTACAACGAGGAACGAGGAACATATTTTTTTTTTACTGGAACTTTTTATCAAATCAATCACACTGGTAGTACACTAATTAGTTGTTTCAAATCAAAAAGTATTTACACTAGCAATAAAAAGAGACTTAAATTATTATCTGCAAAATTGTTACTCTAAATCACCATTTTGCTGCAAACAAAGGTAGGCCGTTTGCGGACGTGTCTTTCCACCTTTTTTTAAAGTGTCCCTATCACTACTCACTGCACAAAATGCAACTTCTATGGTTTGGGGACTCATTCGTAAACCAAACCTACTTCGTCACACTCGCGATAGCAGTACACCATCTCTAAATATTCTTGGTTTGTATACCGAGGCATAATGAAATTATCACAGTGTATGTCACTAATTATTACAATGTATGTCACGCATCAAAAGATGCGCACGCCCACGCGCGATTGATATACTTGCGACTGCGCTTTGCATGCAATCAAAGCAAAGCACCGCACGCGGGGAAGAGGGGAGGTGGGCGGAATTCACATCATCAAAGACGCCGCAACCGGCGCTAGCGCTGCACGTTTCTTGCCAGCGTGCGGCGCGCCGCCCGCCCGTGCTTGCCGCAAAACAATATATTATTATGTGTGACTGTGGCTGTGATTAAATGTGTTCGTAATTTCATGACGTGGGCAAATCAGACACGAAGAATCCTTCCTTCACTAAGCTCGTAAGTTATACCGATTTGCTCTGTTTATCCCCAATTTTAAATAAGCCGTTTGTTCTTAAGTTTTAATTAAACGAGGCAACTAACATTGACAATAAAAAAGAAGTTCTTACACTAACAGACAGGTTTTACCGATTTATAATTGTGACAGTTATATTAACTTTATAGGATTTATAATTGCTCTAACAGAAGATTCATTTTATTGATTAATTACCTGTGCTTTATGAAATAATATTCAAAGGTATTGTGTATCAGTGAATAAATAATTATAATATAGCATCTAAGACTATTTGTGTTTAATGTTTTTAAATAGTGTGGAATCAAAGCTGAAAGTAGGTAAGCGCCGAGTCATCTGTGCGTGTAGTAGGTACACAGGCGGCCGCCGATCGTCGCTCCTGGCCTGCGCTGATCTCGACTGGAGGCATTCATTAAGTTTCCGTTTTTTTAGGAGTGCTTATTTTAAGTTGTTTTACAACTTCTATGTAGACGTGTTTAAAATGAATAATTACTCATAAGGAAGAAATGACAAAAAAATAAACAAATAAAAAAACGAAAAAATAATTTTAAAAAATCCGAAAAAAATCAGGTATACTCTATACACGTAACCCAACAATTTCGCAAAGTTTCATTGAAACATTCAATTTCACCCTATATGTGTTTGTGTGTTAAATTTATATAAAAATATATAAGTATGGTTGTATATATAGTTACGTGTTAGTAAATTTGCTCATTGTTTAATTTTAATCTCTGTCGCTTTTTTTAGCTCTGTAAGTTCTTTCCGGTTGACTGGTAGAGAATGCCACTATGGCATTAAGTCCGCCATTTGCAGTGTAAAGGCAAATGTAAATAAATAAATAAAAATTTACTTGCTTGGGACTCTGATCACATTTTTCCAAATTATTCATAGAAAGCGTGCCTGATACAGACTGTAAAGCATGCAAAGAGGAAAGTGGCTGAGACATACCTTCCAAACTATAATATTTTTAAGTTTTCAATAACATGCATAACAAAATTGATACTAATCATACTAATCTGAACTATTCGATATACTATAATCTTATTATTACGTACTTAATTTCGATATTATATACAAATGTTGGTCTTATATAAGACCCCCTGTAATTATACACTTAATTTTGCCTCTTAATATAATATCTTCGCCTTGGATTGGATTAAATGAGGGATATGGTTGATGGTGGCTAAAACACTAAAATTATTTATGGGGTAAAATTATTTATCATATTTATCTACTAATCATAACTAAAGAAAAGTGTACGGCTTTCCATTCAGGAATAAAAAGCAATGACTTTACAGTAAATATTATACAGAACCTGTGCTTCACTGTCAACTTTGAGTTGTTCTGAAGATAATAATGTGACTAATTGAGGAAGTGGCAGTTCTAACAGTTCATCTCCATTTGCTACTATATTCCAGTTAGCCTGAGCATGTTCTAACGCTTCTTCTGCTAATTCTGTACAATTATGAGCTTCAGCAAACCTAAAATATAACATTTATTTACTTCAATTACAAATAACATGTTCATTATGAAATAAATAATCCAATTTATTTCAAAACAAATTTAATAAATATAATAAAACCCACAGAAATTCAGGTATGTCAGTCAAACATAAGGCATGTCAGTCAGTTAAAGTTCAGGCATGTTTTATACATCTTATCATGATTAAATGACTCATCAATCGAAACTAATTGTGACTTGAAAGCAAGTCAAAAAGGGATCAAATCTCTAGCGTCCTTGTATAACTTTTATGCTTTCTGCAATAATTTCATTATATAAATGGGAATGAGAATAAACTGTTCTGTTGAGGGGTGTTACAGTTAACAATTGGCCATTTTATTATTAGGAATTGAGGAGCTGGCGAATAAGACGGTATAATTACGTATATGGTTTTGACCATATAATACTTTATTTTTACAGCCTGGAGGTTTTGGGTCAGCTGAATTTGAATTTCAACTCATATCAATCAAAACCGCCTAAAATAGTGTTAAAATTACTAAATTAAAAATCACGCCAAAAGCTCACTGTAGGTATGTTATTCAGTTTTTTACTGCTCATGTAAAATTTAATTTGATGTATTTATACCTTTTTATTCGCCAGCTAAATATAAGTAAAAAAATCCAAGTTGTCTCAAAAACTTAGATTAAAAATAAAAAAGGGAAGATATGGCACCCACGACTCAAGTGTTCCACTTAAATTAGGTACATGAACACAATTTCGCATTAGTCACAATTTGCATGTGCTTTCCATATATTGATTGCGGATATTAGAGCAGTAGCAAACCGTATGTATTCGGTACTGAGTAACGGGTGCGCCATCTGGTACCGAGTAACGAAACGTTACACACAAATAAATTTCGTTACTCGCATTTTTCGTAGTATGACTATCTATATGTTTCAGTTTACGCAAGAACAGTTGATGTGTGTATAGAAACATTTGCTGATCGTATGTTTTAAGCATGCGCGAGCATATTCGGAGAATTTAAAAACGTACGTTGGAGTTTTTGGCGGGATTTCATCGAGTGCGGTTGGCGTCTTATTTTAATTATTCTTAAATTCGTTCATAGTGGATATTGTGAAATAAAATTGATGTGATTTTGTGTTACAACCGTCTGCGTAACTGAAGAATTAGTGGAATCGTTAAAATATACGCTATTCCGGTCAAATGGACGTGAGAACTTTACTGTCGTGTTGACTACCTCACAGAAGCTTATCGAAAAAGCCAACTTGATAGATTTCGTTTGAAATATTCTTATTTTTTTATAACTTTATTTTGAGAACAAAAGATTTTTGTTGTAGTTTTTTCTTTCATTATGTTTAATTTCATTCTAAGCAAAACTATTTTTATGTTGATTTATCGTTAGAGCGTTATCGCTATTTAAGTATTATTATCAATACAATAATTTTCGACACCTATTTGTTGCTTTATCATTATAATTGATGAATAATGGATTGCGATGTTATTGTGATTTAACATAAGCTCACGATTAAAATTTTACAAATAGTAAAACCGATTTTTTTATGAGAAGTAACGAGTAACGTAACGATACTATAATAACGAGTACTAATTGTTAAAGTAACGAATACATACGGGTACGCTTTTTTTCGTTACTTTTACACCTCTAGCGGATATTCTGTGTTAAAAATGTAGGAAGGCTAAAGGAGAAGATCTTCCTTCGAGCTGGGTGATGGTACAAAGTTTGTCTAGTCGTGACATTAATGTTTGAGGAACTAACATTATTCATGTGTCTGGCAACACCAAACTTATGTACATCAGCTGTCATCGAGTTTCAGTTGTGGAACAGTTTTCCTTTGTATTTTTTATTGTTTGGATTAAACTGTAATAAATTAAGACGAAACTACGCAGAAAGGTATAAAAATGAGTAAAGTAAATCGGAGTGGCACGCGGGAAGTGATTTTTAAAGTTTTCCAGCGATATTTCGAAGACTACCAAGCTGGACGAATTTTGTGGGACTTGGACGATGTTTATGGGCGAACAGCATCTATGACGGGTATGTAATCGTGTAACTATTTGTTTGTAATCTGCCTGAAGTTACAAATTTACTCAATTTACGATTTTGAGACCAAAAAAGGCATTGTTTACATTGCACATTTTTAGGTTAGATTGACATTGTAAATAGGTAATATTGTAGTAAGACCATTTCTTTTGATACGTTATTATGGTTCAACTCGGTCAGGTTTTCTACCAATTTTGAATTAATTGCTTCATGTCAATAAGTTATTGTTTCTATTCCGTAACATATTTTTTTACTTTTTTTTTTTCAGAAAAATCAGAGTCAGATAGTCAACGAAGGTTTTAAGAATGATGGAAAGTTTGAAACTCCTGGGAAAACAGGCAAGGCCGACCAAAGAAAGAAATGGTCACATAAAGAACCATGGCCAGATGCTTTTAGTGAAGATACCTATCACTAATTTTACTAACTGCACATTTACAAATTGTTTATCTAAATAAACTTTTTATATACTATAAAATGATTTTTAGTATTATTTTCTTAACAAGTGTGTTAAAAAACGTCGTATGATGATACTTGTGTGTATTGATGATTACCTAACGGCTCTGGTCTCAATGGCACCTCAGCGGTAATCACCAATATTACTCACTTTTACACTATAAAGTACTATTTTATCTATAATAATTTTATTCTGATTCAATTAAATATGCTTCGCTTAACTTTTTATAAGCATAGGTACCTACTATATATATAACAGAAACAAAATACGACTGTATAGTGTGTCTTATTAATTACATATTTTACTTGAATGAACTGCTAGTATCAAAATCATTTTGGTCCAACTGTATAGGGTTGCTACATGCATACTAGTGGCGCCATCATTTAATGTCACGACTTTATAGACAAACTGTAGCTCAGGGACCGCGGCCCGACTGATGTTGGTCGGGCATTGGATATATTAAGTGTTTGGCTCCAAATTTCCCTTGCGCGATGTAGGCTTCTATTCTTATTGATCGCAGCGCCGAAAGCGGCATCTCTTGAAGAGGGGAGTGATTATTTCCTCCAGCCTATGTCGCCGATAGAAAAAAATTAAAACAACGCCTTCGATGCTTATAAAAACAAGCACAAATAGTTCAAGATCAAATTCCACAGTAACTCTTTTCATTCATAAGTTTTGTGAATGAAATGAATGAAAAAGAGATAAAATAAAACTCATAAAATCTGGTTTGTCGTGAATATTATTTGCTTATATTCGCCATTTCTTATCAAGAAAAGGACAACAATACAGCTTAGCCGTTTGTAGATAGTGAAAAGAAATCACAGTCAGTTGCCAAGTAACGCAGACTCGCGTTCCGCTCGCGCCGAGTTGAAGAGTACAGTTCTATCTCGCTCAATTGAATGCTTATTTATAGAAGTGTGCGTGTGTGAGAGTTGGTCGGAGCACATTTTACATTGAGATGCTGGTAAGAGCATACTGTATCTTCCCTTTTTGGTTTAATCTAAGTCAATTTAATACACTACCTACACTTATTACATGTTTTTTACTGGATCCCACAACAATATTAAACACCCTAGATACACCATGTCCGCTCGAAATGTGTCCCAATCAAAAAGTGTCCACAGTCCCGAGCGTGACTGTGGACACTTTTTGATTGAATGAAGTGTCCATGAAAAGTCGAGATGCAGCAGAACTCCGTGAAAAAATTACTTAAAGTACAAGTTTCGTGTTTGACAGGTGTTAATTTAACACATTTGAAGCTATTTTTTTTCTAATACATACTATAAGCTTAATTAATAGAAAATATTTGAGATATTCAAATGCATGGTCGCTTACATAGCCTCTTTTCCTCGCGGTCCGTATCTGCTATATTGCTAACAGGGCGTTCAGAATTGTGCATAGATAAGGTCTAAATTCTTCCACATATCATATAGCAATAAGTCTTAAAATTTTACGAGCTTGCATTACGAACTGCCATGGCACTTTGATGCATGCCTTTTAATTAAGACTTTATAAAGTGTGCATTAAAGGTGACTTCTAATGTTTGAATAATGCCTTACATTATTTTTGACTACGCAATCATTTTCGGGAGCTCCATGGATTGTCCAATGTACCTTTTGGACAGGTTTCGGCCATGATTTTGATCGTGTTGTTGTATCTAGGGTATTTAATATTGTTGGGGTCCCATTGAAATCTTTTGAAACAGATTTTACTGTAATTTCAAAATAGTTTTTTTTTAATAACATTCACTTAATCCACGCGGACTGGATGTGGTCCCCTTGGATTTTTTTTCTAGTAAAACTTTTCTATAGAGTTAAACATCTAGCAGTTAAATGCTTAAAAAATAAAAACATAACATTCACTTAAATTAAAATTATATGAACTTAAACCATTGTATTTAACCATTAAATTTAATTACGTAAACCCAGATGAAAGTTGAATAAAGCAGGTAAAATTATGTAAGCCCAGGTGAAAGTTGAATAAAGCAGGTAAAATTAAGTTCAAATATACCTAAAAATTCCTAAGGCATTTGAGGGATGTAGTTCTCTTCTTAGATACTCGCCACAACCAGTTACCAGTTCTCTTAGTTGTAACATGTCAGCAGCAATCATCAAATGTTGTACCGTAGATTTATCAATCAAAATTTCACCTTGAACACAAAGAAATCACATATAAGTTAATCTTTAATTCTTATTTCTGTTGAGCAAGCTTTATCCCATCTATATATTAAATATCCATCCATCAATCTATTTATCTTAATATTTTACTACTGAAGTCATTCCCCCTTATTTGTAAATGCAGAATAAGCTTGGATTAGTTATAGTCCAGTCAATGAAGGCTTAACTTTGCCATTTTGAGTTGATCACCTGCAACCAACGCGAAAATTTCCGCAAGGGTTCGTAGATTAATATACTAAAATTGCAGGGTGCTGCATTGACGGCAAAGGGTGAAAAAAAATGCGAAATGGTGCAAAAACGAGTTTTTCGTCAATATCTGGCGACTGGCTGGAAAAATAGAAAAAGTTCCTAGCACAAAGTTGTAGAAAATTGAATTTCCTACAAAAAAGGTATCAACATATTTTCGCGTATCTCCCATAGTTTTTGCACAAAATGCAATTAAAGGTGCAAAATAAAAAAAAGAAAATATATTGTTAATGGTTTTTTTCCATTTTTAAACGATCCTACGGGTCAAATTCAACAATCACCACTTACTGAAATATTTAAGGATGAGTTTTCGGCAGTCCACAGAAATGAAAATTGTCTACCGAAATGGTAAAAAAATGACCACCGAAATGATACAGCCAAGAACATCGCCTTTGTAGTAGAAGGGTTCCCTATTTTGAATTTAAATAAATTTCCTTATTCTTTGTAAATATTTTTGTTCATTATTTTTTAATAAGAATTATTAATAAAGAATTAATTAATTGTAACTCCTATTAATTATTATTACTAATTATAATTATTAATATGTACATTTTCAAAATAACGAACAAAGCGCGTTTAGAAAGCGAGAAGTTTATTAGTTAGTAAATCGTCTCCTTAGTGCCAAAACCGATTATCTGCACTTTTTCGCTACTGAACTTTTATAATACCAATCGACCCGTCTTATTTAGCCGCATCTACAGATATCATACTTCCTGAAATAGTTAATGAATAAACAGAATAACTGCAAATTATTTCCAAAATTCTTGATTTAAAACCTAATAAATCCATTCAAAACACTTAAGTTTGTAAATGTACTACCGCTGAAACCAAGTTTCGGATTTAAACTCATTTTTCATGTAGACACTTAGAGTAAATATCTTGTGAGTATCCTGTAATTGGCTTTGACTGTTGTTGACTTGACTGTTTGAATTTTACCACATATTTTAATTTTACTAGATGAAATAAAAATTAACAGATCTAAGTCGCTTTTTTCAAAAACAAATATAAAGCATATTTGCGTAATATTTGAGGCAATCGAATACGATACCGAATTTCAATTTGTTTTTACTTAATAACTTTTATTCAACGCTTTATAAATTACTTCTAAAATTGATTATCGGTGCTTACTCTTTTCTTCCACTATAATTTATTAGCGTTAGATATCGTTACTTTAAAATTTATGCTTTAGCTAAAATCAGCTATCCATGTTTAACCGTCTCTTCCGTGCACAGATCGCGCGCTAGGGAGTGAGTCGCTCACTTTTATTCATTCATTATTGAATCGAGCGCTGTTTGTTGTAATCGTGTATTGTTATTTTTTTGTTTAATTAATCACTTATAAACATTACTAGGTGAACTATTCTGCGTATTTGGTTTAAAATGATAACTACTAAGAAAGATAAAAAAATTGATTTCAACTTAACTTTAATATTTATTTTTAGTTCATCGTGTTCAGCGCAAAATTTGCATTTACAACATATATTTGCAATATGCAATACATATTCTTATAAATGATCATATAATAAAATTTAAATCATTTTTTTTTGTCAAGATTATTATATGAAAAAGGAAATAAAAAAAATGCCCGAAACATATTTATTAAATCCCAATGAAGCATGTAGAGGTGATCTCCCCGAGCAAAAAAAAAATACACGGCGTTGCTCATAGCGGCAGTGTAATGTGCTGATTTATGATTATGACTTTTTTTCTTAGTTAAGTAGGTACTTCTCAACATTGTCAAAAAGAATTATTGAGTAATGGGCTCTATTCCATAAAATAAAAAAATACGAAGTGGCATTTTATCATCACGGTAACCTGTCTTAAACCCAATTCCTCTCGTAAAATTACTTCCCCTGTAGTTACATTTATTTTTTCGATTGAAATTAACTTTCATACCATTAATATATAATATAGCCTATCAACAAAACTTACTACTGTTTGTTTACCTTCTTCCTTATACATGTAACAAGCACTCAACTTTTGTCCTGGAAAAAGTTATCATTTCCATGGACAGTAAGTTTTTGTGAAATAGGTTCGTCTACATTGCGTTGTTCAGTCCGCCTTCGCTGGAGCACACGCTCGACGCAACAACGTCATTGTGGACTCCCGCCAAATAGTAGTAAGTATATCATTTCAGTGATATGGGGACAATTGATTCGGTGGACAGTAATGCCGATAAGAGTCCAGGGAATGAAAGTATCGCCGAAATGATACATCCATATGTTTTTAGAGATCCTTGAGTCAATATTAAATAGTTTCGGTTTATGATGTACATTTATCTAGATACTGTAGGTTCAATATTTCTGGTGCAGTAGTATTTCTATCTAAAATATCTAGTATAAAAATGTATATTAAATTTAAAGCGGACGAATTCGTTGGCAGCCGATAGTATTCCTAATTAAATAAGTGTAAAAAATCAGTATTATTCATCTGCACTTGACTCGCTTACATATGATGAGTCATCAGAATGGTTTCTGAAGGAAAACGATCAGATTGGTTGTTTCTTAGCCAAAGATCTGTATAATCCATGTTACTCTTCAGGTATGACACCTTTATTGCACAAATCATCAAGATCTTTTTTCTTTGCTATAGATCTTTTTTTACCCGGCTGCGCAATGCAAGAGCGCGAAGCGCGACGCGCAGACAGGGTTATGTGTTTAACAGTCTATATATGTATGTTTGTTCCTTTGTGGCACACTAGAGACCAAACGCCTGGACCGATTTTGATGATTCATACATCAATCGATTCGCCTCAATCATGGGAGTGCTACTAAAGGTATGATAGTAATCAAAATTCAATATGGGCAAAATTAGGCGCCATATTGTGACGAAGTAAAAAAAATAAGTTGACAAAATATGTCGAGTGGGGTATCACTGTCTAGATAATCAAAAATCATAATTAGCTATTAACGGGATTGTTACCATGTTTATTGTTAGTGACCAAGAAAGTTTAAAACAATAAATCATAATTAGGTTCCTAACACCATTTTTCATTTAATATGATTGTTTAGGATCTACAACGCTTTAAAGTTGTATATTAACCACTTACGCTTTTAATTTCAATCTTACGTTTGTATGGATCTTTGTTACTCTTTCACCTAAAAAATACTGAATGGATTTTAATGAAACTTAACAGTAATATAGCTCATATATGATAATTACATATATATAATAATTTATGTAGTTATTGAGTGAATTGGCCAATATAAAACAATAAGTGTCACATAAGACGGAAAAAATCTCCCATCTGCGAGCCATTTTGGCCTGCACTGCAAAAACAATAAAAGTTACATGAATGTAATGTAGAGTGAAAATGTATCTCTTAAATAGTTCTAAAAAAAAAGTCCGTGACACCATATATCTATTTTCAACGTGTCAGTCATTACCGCTAAAATAGTGAATCAAAACTAAAATATTATTTGATATCTATTTCCAAAATGCACATTTTGTATTAACAAATCATTTTTTATCGAAACAAATACTTTTATCGCTTTTGATATTTAAAGACGATAAACTTTGCTATTTACACTATGTCATTTCGACAAATACCTATTTAAAAAGTTACAACGATGATAAAGTGATGGCGCAGTGTACTATGTAAAAGAAAAAAAAAGGGCTATTCGCAGTATCTGATCCTATACGAAGCACTAACAATAAAACTGTGATACAGCTCCTTCTTATTAAATGATGAAAAATAAATTATCATGATTGGTATTTATGATAATTGAATTTTAATGAAAAACTCAGAATTTTACTTTTTAATTTTTTTAACGATATTACTTAATGTTACAAAAAAGGTTTACTTAATATAATGACAAATAACCCATTTTCGCTAGTAAGTACATTTTTATTGGAATCCCTGTATTTATTAATCAGCTCGCGATAATATTGGTTTTGTAATAATTATGCAAAATTCAAAGTAAATAATGTAGATTTTTATAGGTAAATCACCCCTTTCATCACCCTACGCCTATAAGTATTGCGATGTTGTAGCTAAGAACCAAGTTCCCATCTACTTCTATATGGAAATTCATTATATTCGATTTAGCTATTAGGGCACGGAAGCGCAACAAACAAACTCACTTTCACATCTATAATATTATATTATACTTACTAGTGATCCACCCGGGCATTGTACGGGCGAAATTTATTTATCGGGAAAAAATATAGCCTATGTCACTCGGACAAAATGTATTTAAATAAAGAAAAATGTAATAATAAATGATGTAGCTACCTTATGATGAATTATTATTTGAAATTAAAGGAATTTTATATTTACTGAACATAAACAAAAGATGACTTTTTGAGTAAGTTCTAGTTGTATGTAACGACTTGATTTAACTTGATTTTTGCGAAAATTAAGGCCCATCTGTAGCCTTGACCCCGCTGGTAAAGTCTCTATATGTCTTAATAAATCAATCTTTTAGACCAACGCAAGGTACTTAATAATTCCCGCGATATTAATTCCCTTACTGAATTAACAAGACTACGGTATATACCGTCTTAAAATACCAACTAACTAAAAAGCGTGAAATAAAAAAGGTAAATTTAAAAAATCAAAAAACCCGACTGCTTAATTATACTTGAAATAAAAACTGAAAAGAAAAAAACAAGTCCAGTAGTCTATAATTCTGTTAATAAGGAACAAAGCTACTTAAACAGTCGGGACCCACTGTTGAAAAATATTATGTATTCTTGAATATCTAATGGGTCCCGACTGTTAAAGTAGCTTTGTTCCTTATTAACAGAATTATAGACTACTGGACTTGTTTTTTTCTTTTCAGTTTTTATTTCAAGTATAATTAAGCAGTCGGGTTTTTTGATTTTTTTATAAATGGTTTCGACAAATGACTCCACCAGAGGTTAGGTGACGGAGGAGTCTATACTCGAAGATAGCTGGTACAGCAGTATTACTTGCTACACCAGCTATCCTCATTTTGCCGGCCTGCAGAATTGTTACTTCACAGGGCAAAGTAATCCATTTGCAGATAGTCTGACAAAGAAATGAGTTACCAAATTTCTTTGTTCACGTTGGAATAGTGGGAATAGTAGTTCACAGTAAGTCGGTGACAACGTAAGCCAGCGCGTGTAGACTTCTGTAGGAAAGGGGAAGGTAGGTTAAGGGACAATAACTCCTCAAAACCTGCGCTATGGTATAGACGATAAGACGCGCTTAATAACGCCACATCACGGCGTAATTGAAGAGGCTCGAGGTGTTTAGTCACCTCCTTATCGCCAATAATGCGGATGGCGCGCCGCTGTAACCTATCCAAAGCATCAAAAAAGTACTTGGCGGAGCCATCCTCTGGGGTGCGAACAATATTCCACGCAAGACCGTACTTACGTCATGTACAACAAGCACAGTTGCTCAGGCGTGAAAATACGTTAGTTTTACCGTGAAGGCGCAGACCTAGGTTTTCTTGGCAATGAACTCAACCAAGTTCTTGGTACCGCATTCCGAAATGTGGTCCAAAAATTCTTTTTGGTTTCTACCTGTCCAGCGGCTGCGTATCCAAAATATCCCGCATGCACTGTATTATCGTCTGCATAGCAATGAATATTCTCAAGAGGAATTAAATCATTGAATGCAGCAAAAATAGTGTAGGGAATAGGACGGAGTCCTGAGAAACACCGGCATTCACTGACATGAACTGCGAACTACATCCGTCGCCGTCCATTGACGCTCATGCAGGAAATCAGCCACTCAGGCACAGAACTGAGTAGGCAGACCGTATCCAGGAAGATTGGAGAGAAGGTTTATGTGCCAGACCCTATTAAAGCCTTGGTGATGTTAAGGCTGATAGCCAAAGACTCACCTCGCTTATCGATAGCCTCACCCCAGATATATGTCACGTACGCTAGAAGGTCACCTGTCGATCGATTCGGTCTATCCTCTTTTACTTGCCTCAAATATAACGCAAACATATTATATATATTTTTTGCAAAAAGCGACAGATTCGTTAGTTTTTACTTCATCTAGTAAAATATCTGATAAAATTCAAACAGTCAAGTCAACAACAGTCAAAGGCAATTACAGGATACTCACAGGATATTTACTCTAAGGTATTGTCCTAATACAAGGCGATAACGCGAACGAGCGATGCGATCATCGTACGATTCGACGATCAAACATATTGATCTAGAATAGGTGTCCTAATAGGCGATCGCGAGATGCATTCGCGCGACTAAAATGTTTAAAAATCTAGTCTCGCGAACTTAGTTCACGCGAACGCGCAATCAAAACTATTAATGATGAATAGGTGTCCTAACTGAAGTTCGCGCGATGATCGTGTCGCGTCGATAGGAAGCGGGGAGAGGGGCAGGGCTAACCCGTTCCGTATTCGCGTTCTATTAGGACACCCACTTCGCGATCACGCGATTGTCGCATCGTTTAATCGCGCGATGATCGCGTTATCGCGTTGTATTAGGACAATGCCTAAGTGTCTACATGAAAAATGTTTAAATCCGAAACTTGGTTTCAGCGGTAATACATTTACAAGCTTAAGTGTTAATAATTAATTTCTTCTTTCAAATGTTTAATACTTGAGAAAGTATTCATTTGACATTGTGGGTTACCTACAATGCGAAGAGATGGCGCTGCCTTGCAGCTTAAGGCTAGGAAAATTTCGACGCGGCTAATAGGGCCGTGGTAGCATAATGGTCAGTGCATTCGCCCGGATTGCGAAAGGTGCGGGTTCGAGTCCCGTCCGCTGCCTGGTCCGCGTGGATTTTATTCTAGTAAACTTTTCTTTAGATTTAAACATCTAGCAGTTAAATGCTTAAAAATAAATAAAAACATAACTATAATTGCTATTTCTTCTTTCAAATGTTTAATACTTGAAAAAGTATTCATTTGACATTGTGGGGTACCTACAATGCGAAGAGATGGCGCTGCCTTGCAGCTTAAGGCTAGGAAAATTTCGACGCGGCGAATAGGTCCGTGGTAGCATAATGGTCAGTGCATTCGCCCGGATTGTGAAAGGTGCGGGTTCGAGTCCCGTCCGCTGCCTGGTCCGCGTGGATTTTTTTCTAGTAAACTTGGGTTTATTAAGTTTTAAATCAAAAATTTCGGAAATAATTTGCAGTTATTCTGTTTATTCATTAGCTATTTCAGGAAGTATGCGTCGTAGAACATAATGGGTTTTACCTGTAGATGCGGCTAAAAGAGACAGGTCGATTGGTATTATAGAAGTTCAGTAGCGAAAAAGTGCAGATAATCGGTTTTGGCACTAAGGGGACGATTGGAAAATGTACATATTAATAATTATAATTAGTAATAATAATTAATAGGAGTTACAATTACTTAATTCTTTATTAATAATTCTTATTAAAAAATAATGAACAAAAATATTTACAAAGAATAAGGAAATTTATTTAAATTCAAAATAGGGAACCCTTTTACTACAAAGGCGATGTTCTTGGCTGTATCATTTCGGTGGTCATTTTTTACCATTTCGGTAGACAATTTTCATTTCTGTGTACTGCCGAAAACTCATCCTTAAATATTTCAGTGAGTGGTGATTGTTGAATTTGACCCGTAGGATCATTTAAAAATGGAAAAAAAACCATTAACAATATATTTTCTTTTTTTATTTTGCACCTTTAATTGCATTTTGTGCAAAAACTATGGGAGATACGCGAAAATATGTTGATACCTTTTTTGTAGGAAATTCAATTTTCTACAACTTTGTGCTAGGAACTTTTTCTATTTTTCCAGCCGGTCGCGAGATATTGACGAAAAACTCGTTTTTGCACCATTTCGCATTTTTTTTTCACCCTTTGCCGTCAATGCAGCACCCTGCAATTTTAGTATATTAATCTACGAACCCTTGCGGAAATTTTCGCGTTGGTTGCAAGTGATCAACTCAAAATGGCAAAGTTAAGCCTTCATTGACTGGACTATTATTCCATGTTTTTTCTCTGTTCATTGAATGTCATTCATTTGAGTGATATAAACAAAACACTGTATAGCTAGTCAAAGCTTATTTGTTGTTTATTTTTAAGGGGGATTGAGATTAAGTTTGTTTCAGGTGATTCTGCCTGGAATGACTGTGCTGTAGGGTTCTAAACAGCGACATGCAGTCAGTCAGTCACAATATATAGTAGCTAATACTTAATTCTTAAAACACTGTCAGTCCATCTATCAAACACTTTATTTATCTTACACTATGCTCTCCATATTGACATAAGAGTAACGCTCATAATAATATTATAGTACAAAATTCATGTTTATTATTTATGCTGTTCCACTTAAGGGTGTGGACCTGTGTAGGTATGTCTTTAGTTTAACTATTTGGATGGTTAAGTTGCAAATTGTTATTTGATAGACAATACCCAATACAAGAATAAATGCACTTATTTTTCAAACAAACACTACTAAATACTGTACCTGTGTAAATAAAATCAATTATCTTAGGTAGTATGTCAGGTGGAACACTGGGTAGACAAACATGCCGCTTTTGACTTTCTTCAAGACCAACATTAAACATGGCATCAAAATAAGCACAGCTTGCAGCCAACACCACTCTGTGAGCCTAAAACATGGTCTCCATTAACCCTTCAATTGCGGGAAAGCCTCCGCCTAAAACACCCCCCGCTTGCGGAACGATTGCGCGGCCGCAGCGCGCGCTCGACGCAGTTTGAAATTTATTCAATAACTTTAATAAATCGTTCGGTTGACATGCAGCAAAATATTTTATTTCAATTATAGATAGTCAATGTACCTTCTTTTTTAGTAATTTCCTATATAAATTGTTTCAACCTTTTTATTTTTAACAGGAAACATAGACAAAATCAATTTCGCACCTTAGGTGGCATAAACGCGATTTGAATAAATTATACGAATACTTGTGCTTTTCATTGATAACCTTTTCAAAGTTGAATAACTAAACAATAGATTTTTGCAAAAAAATAATATACTGTTGTAATATAATGTTGTTAATAAACTGTTTTAAAAATTACTTTTTAGTTGCGAGCTCCCCGATACTCGATTTTAAAATCGTCGTACTAACGGTTGTTTGGTCATAAGAACGACTTCACCACAATGAGTGAATGGTTTATTCATCTGGGTATAAAATTCAAAAGACTTTGAACTGTATTGCATTGTATTTATTCCCAAAATTGCAAAAAATTGAATGCGGGTGACGAGCGAGCAGATCTACACTTGCCCAAACGGACTTTACTCACGAAGGCGTGCAGCGCTGCACTACAGCAATTGAAGGGTTAAAAGTTTGATGAAATGTAAACACAAAGTACTTTTAAAGAACCTACAGATGATTTGATGTAAAACATTAACTATCTGGTGTTTTTCAAATTATGTGATACCCCGTAAAACAATGAGTAAACTTTCCTATTTAATTCAACAACAATAGGTAGCCATATAATATGTACTTAAAAAGTATGACAAATAGATTCTAAATTACCCACCTTAACTTTAGTTTTACCAGATATTAGGTCAATATCACAAAATCTGCCATCTCTTTTGAAAAGTTGTAAATTTATAGATATCTTCGTGGCATATTCACGGCATTTATACGGCCGAGCTCCATCTTCATTTGAATTCTTGTATATATTCGTGGTCATATTATTACAAACTTACATCTAATAGACACAAAAAAATAATTCTATTTAATTAAAACATTCCAACCAATTTCTTTTTAAAGATAAAAGATTCTCCCTTTTAAGGGAAGGCAAAGGGAACAATGCCCATACAGCCTAGTTTGAAGTTGTATTAATCTTTTTTTTACATTAGTATGTCGGTGTGACGCATCCTAATGACTCTTGAAATGTTTGGCACGAAGTGTATCGAGTTAGCTTTTTCAGTATGCTTCTATGAGGTAGCCAACACTACAATAAAGTTCTCACGTCCACTTGACCGGAATAATATATTTTAAAGATTCCATTAATTAAAGTTAATATAAGTATTTATCGAATTTATAGTTTTAAGTCGAGCTGATTACGAATACTACATTTATCTCGAGATTATTAGTAATGTCCTAATGGCACTGTACTGTAGTCACTGCAACTTAAAATATCTATTAAGTGACTCGCCATTACGTTTATGTACTTAAGCGCTTATTCCACCTGACTAAATTCTAACGTCCTAGTTAGGATCCTAAAAAGAAGGCTAATTAGAAGCTTCTGATTATACTTGACTAATTTAGTTACTGAATCAGTCAGTTACAAGAGCGGCCAATTCAGTCGGACTTTTTCGTAATTGCTCCAGCCCTGTCAAAGCAACAAACAAATCTGTCTTCTGGTAGCCCTGGCCGTTGGCTCAATAAAAATAAAATAAAGTAAAAAACGAAAAACGTGGGTGAAAGAATATTAATATTATTTTTATCGTTCTTGTTCCAAAGATACGGCATATGTTTATACAATTCCATTATGTTACTCATAACTTCTTTTTCTTTTACCGCCGACATCGCACACTCGCATGATTCGTAATCGCAGACACAACACGTCCTCACGCAGTGACACCTGCGGTAGGGATAATAATATTCATTTAATATCGATATATCCAATTTATTCGATATTTACCATACGATATATCAATTGAATCGCTGTTTTGACAAAGATTTTTTTTATTCGATATATTTACAAAAATATCGTATCGAAAAAGTTAAAGCTGACTCATACTGACAATAAAACCAAATTTAAGGAAATTGGCAAACAGACTGTCATTGAAATGTATCATGTACATACCAGAATCGGGATATTTTAAATTTATAGATCATAATGCCAGTAACATTTCCCAAAAAATGTAAAATTCATAAAAACAATATGCCTTCCACGCGCTTTAGGTTCATGACGGTATCTTTTATCTACCCTTTATTCTGCATGACTTATCCTTGTTTATTTTAATATTTGAATTCCCAAAAATAAAAGATAGGATCATCCTATTAGAAAGGGATAAAAGGTCTCCGTTCTCTATCTCTCACTCATTCCGTTTTATTAGTAACAGTGGTGACCTGTTTATATGATACACCATGAATTTTGAATCTTTGCAAATACTTTTTTCGAAAAATGTCTACCTTAACTCACTATTTGTATAATATAGAAACCTTTAAAATTCTTTATAAATTGATAAAAATAAATCTAATCTTTTTGTAACTACGTACCTGAAACGGTTAATAATTCCATTATAGGTATGTTAATTACAAATTTGCACTGTTTATGATATTTGTGAAAGTCAACCAACGAAGAAACAGAATTAAAAAAACTAAGTAAACTTTTACTCCTACAAAGTCTACCTAAAGAATATTGGTTATAAATGGGTATTATTATAATAAAATATTTCCACCATAAAGGAGATGGCCCACTTTTGAGCCATCTCCTTTTTAGTGTTTCGCCTTTATGCAGTGGCGGATTTACAAATTTGCCGCTAATAGGCTATTAAATTTTTGCCTTCCCTACTGACCTTTGAAATTCAATACGCTAGTTCACAATTATATTTATTCTGAAATTGCAACTTTATGATTTGTGTTCTATCGTCCACATTACGTCGGCTTTTCCCCGTTAGTTTAAAAAATTACTAAATTTAAATTGTAATTAATATTGAAACGCTAATAGAATATTTTAAAAATTCATGATCGCATAAGTACATACCTATATTTTACAGTGCGTTTAGTAATCTTTTATATACGGATTACGGACGTAAGAGTGTTGAGTATACTGTGCATTACTAAAATATTAAAATTTTTGTCACTCGTTTTTCTGTGTAGATTTTGGACCAAATTTGCCGCCCCCTTAAATCTGCCGCCCTAGACTCCAGCCTACTGAGCCTACAGGTAAATCCGCCACTGCTTTTATGTATAAAAATCATTTCACCACTGTCTGAGTAGTACCTATAATTCTATTAAAATAATACTCATATAAATTAACTTTTGAAAAATATTCGATATTGAAAAAATATCGATATTTTCAAACGATATATCGAAAAAACATTGATATCGCTTTCCGATATTTTATATAGAATACATGTATCAATATATTTTTTAAGTGTACACCGCAGGTCCTGCGGTGCGACTGAAGCTGTGAAGCATCTAAACGCTATTCCACCTACCTAAATCGCGTTCTAATTAGGACACTAAATGATTTAGTCAGTCAGAAGCCACACTTCTTCCGATTTAGGTTGCTAAGTAGGATCCTAACTTCCTAAATGTTATTTCACTTGACTGAATTAGTTACTGAATGATTTAGAACGTCTGACTTTAGACAGGTGGAATAAGCGCTTTATCTGTTCTTTCCAGACAGATTCCAAGGAGCACCAAGTTTTTGGAAATTAGATTTCGTTTAGTCGTTTTACATGTCGTCCCAGATGAATAGATACTACTTTTGTGGATTACAATAAAATACGCTACTAAATATAAAAAAAAACTATGTTTTGAAAACTCTAAGAAGTCAAAATAATAAGTTATGGCGAAAACAATTTTATTTGTCTTAAAAACCTAAAATTCCATTTATAACAGAATCTTAATAATATAAGTTTTTATCTCGTTGACTATAGAAAAATTCGAATCGTAACACCCATGAACAAAAGTTCGTGAGTATATCGTAATCGTTATTTTTTTCGCGATACAATAATAATCAGGGGTGCCAATTCTGGCGTGATTCTCTAAACTTAAAACTAAATTTAACATCAGTCTCTCGTTTTCAATCTGTATAGAGAATGACAAGGATATACTGCTGTCAAATTTAAGTTTAGGTTTAGAGAATCATGCTAAAATCGACACCACGGTGCAACTAAATAAAATCAAGAGTATCATGTGATGCATTTACCTATTAATTTGACATTTGTATCCTATTTAAAAAAAGGTACTCTTCAACTAGGTATACCAATTGCCGAGGAAATTAAAGTCACTCAATGTGGGCTGCTGACTTGATAATTAACTTTTTAATTTGATTTACTATTTCCAATAAACAAACAAACCGATAGACAAACATACAAAATAAAAAGCGTATATTTTTGACAACAGTATACCCTTGTATTTCCCTATATAGAATGAAAAGGAGAAACTAATGATAAATTTAGTTTAGAATTATGCATGCCGGAATCGACACTTACATTTTATAATTTTTAGGTCGTTAGTTTTTTTTTATGAATTAAAAATATTTCTATTCTATTCTAGTTACGTGCATCGGTATAATATACTTTTTATACATATTATCATATTTAAACGTCGAAAGAAAAATTTTTGTGTCAAATATGACACCTTTCTCTAAACCTAAAGTTAAATATGACAACAACGTATCATTGTTATTATCTATACAGAATGAAAATTAGACACTGATGTTTGATTAACTTATAGATCGTGAATCATTGAATTATTGTTTTTGAAGTTATACTTCTTTAGGCGCGTTATGAAAAAATGTTGAGAGTGAAATTTTAAGATGCGCGCGCATCACTGTAACACAAAATTTTAACAGCATGAAGTTGGTCGCTTTAGCGACCAACTTCATGCTGTTACTTTTGTGTTTACCGCACATTAAGAAAATCTACCAACAAAATAGAAATAGAATCTCTATTTAGTGGGTGCTAACGACTGCATTGTGAAGGCCTATCAAAAGTATTTATTAATCTGGAACAACGGAACCAAAGCGCGATTCAGGAGACTACAGCGCCATCTCTTGACCATTGGTGTAGTAGAACCAAAAACCACATCTTTATTTTTTGTAATAAAGTAACAGTTAAAGGTATTTATGGGAAAGACTGCCGGCGGAGACGGCCTTCCCTTTTCTTGAGGAACGCAGGCGCGACGAAACAAAACACAGAACTTCGTAGAATATATTTAATGTATGCACGTTCACAATATAAGATTGAGTTACGTATTCTAGGTACACAGTATAGTTACAACAGGACAAGTCTGTACCGAAGAGTCGCGCCTGAGCAAAAGAGACCGCTGTGACGTTCTATTGCCAACCACCCGATCATTGCGGCGTGGTTGCCAACAGAACGAAAATATCGTGACGTTCGGAAACGCCACATATTCATATTTATAATATTTATCCACATGTTTCTAGTTTGTATATTCGGAATACTTGTTTGAGTTTGATACAAGTGCAAATCACATATGTTCTAATAAATTATATTCAGTAGCGATTTTAATTGAATATTTTGATTATTTATTTATTTTTTCAAATTAAAACTGAACTTTATTGACTGTGTCCTTTTCCAGACTTTTTATTAATTTATTGTAATTAATTATTTGCATGCAATTAAAAACTAATTTTAAACGATGCCAAAGAAGGATAACTTCTCACGCGCCTACATAAGTACACGCACCCATTTTTTTTTTATAAAATGTATCGATGTACATTTGTTTTATCAACTTGCTATTTGTATCATCACACGCACTTAAAATTAAATCTGGTTGATCGTTTTCCAGTAATAAAAATACCAATCATTCATTTCATTAATTTTTCGTCACATTACTATGAATTACTACCTATTATTTTTGTCATTCATGCGTCACTCCGCGCCTTTTATTTTAATTGAATTTTATATTAGAATACTTACTTTTTATTAATTGAAGATACTTTTTTATTATAGGAAACACCATGTTCCAGCAGGATTGAAGTGGCAGATCGGTTTTTGCATGAGAAAGCAACATAATTTTCCATTTTTGTGTTTGTTGGAGTTCCG